TCAAACTCTATAAAAGAAACAGTAACACCAGGCACCCTAGTAAATATAATTTTTTTTCATTTCTCCGTAAATATCTAGCTGCATGTTTGGCATTTAAAAAAATTAATCAATATACTGAATTGAACTGATGTTGTTAAATGGCACCATTAAAGGCTGCATGGCAGCTCCACTGCAGATACAGCTTTTCCAGCCTGAGCCCCCGCTAGCAAGAGAGAAGCAGCTCACATGGACTTTGCACTGATTTATTCATATCACAGCTCATATGTGGGCGAGCTGAGTCTTCAGCTTTTGGCGTCCTGAGCATTGGTTACTTTCAAGGACACACCACAAGTAAGAAACACAGGGGGACGAGATGATGTTATTTCCATTTAAAACATTCAGCCTATATGTAATAAGGAGAAAGAATAGTTATAATAACATGGTTGATTACCGTCAGAGTACTAAAAGGGAGTTTTACTGGAAAAGGTATTACACAGCCCACTGTGCTTTGCATAATCATTTTAAAAGCCATTCAGGACATTTTCCTGCCTTTATCCTAAAGAAGCTGGAAGTAATTTAGAAAACCAGGGTTGTCAGTAGGGCTGAACCCAAGGCTGGTCGCTGCATGCAGTTACACGTGCTGGAGTGGGTGCACAGGGTACAGCCAAAGGCTGAGTCAGCGCATGCATGGAGTGCAGAGACTAACTTACAGGGATATATTGTAAATATGTTACTGTCGTTTGTGATGTCTCAAATAATTTGAGCATCATGGCTGTCTTAAAACCATATTTCTAAAGCCTTTATATTGCCTCATGAGGCACACAGTAAGTAAGTAATCTCTGATGCCCACCCAGAGCATGGACAATTTTTAGATCAGCTGAATCAGGAAGTACCAGGGAATGAATTTGAATCATATGTCCAAAAATTTGAGGAAAAACCTAAGTTGACATTTGAGAGGTTTTACCTTAAATAGCTTGTAAGTTTCATGTTATTCCATATTAAGAACAAAAGGAAAATGGTCAAAATGAAATGAAAGATTTGGTAGGACAATATTTCATTTGACCAGAAACAATAATTTTGTTCCCATAAGAAAATATTTCCATGAGGATCTGAACTTCTTCTGCACGCTTACTTCTTATCTCAGACAGCAAATTTTGCATTGCCTTTTTTCACTAAGTGCTAACTCTGCCCTCCACCACCCCACATAACTATGTGTTTCCTTAATGCATTATTTTGCAGTCACTTTCCCTGCTCATCTTTTGATTTCCCAGTTGTATAAGCAACTTTGTTAGAATCGTTCCTTAATGAAGTAGGGAATGATTGAACAAACAAACCTCTCTGCCACTGGAAACAGTGGTGAATGCAACCAGAGTAGGCATGCAGAGATGTCTTTTTTAAAAAAAAAAAAAGATTATTTTCTAATTGATGGTGTATTTTTGCTGCTGAGACTTTATGAAGGACCTGTATTCCCAGATGCAAATATGCTCAATTTGTGTTTTCCTGGGAAATAAAAAGAGGGCCCAGGGTCTCGTGGGCCACCAGCACCATTTCCTTGTGCAGGATGGGAGCCATGGGCCATTGACAGCCAAGTTCCTCACCTCTGTGCAGGCTCAGCATCTTCCCCTCTGGAATAAATAAGATTTCTCAGAAAACACTTGGAGAAGATCTTGCCTTCTGTCACAGACTCCTTGTTACGATGGCGTTTTCTCAACAAAGCAGCCTCCTTTGGAGCTGCTTGCAAAATCAGTTGGTGCGACCTGGGAAGGGATGATGCAATGTTGTTCAAGCAGGAGCATTTCGTCTGGGAGAGAAGTGGTGTTTTGACATAATTGTCTAAAAGTTTGGAAGCTGAACCAGCTCATACACATGGTCATCTGGCAGTTTCTCTTGGTGTTTCCAGACCAAGCTTTCTGGGTGTCATCTTAGGTGGTCATGTAGTCACCTGGCAACCTCCTTTTCTTGTTTTTTTGAGAGGCTGACAGTATCATTTTGGACCATTTCAGATTAAACACTTCATCCTGGAGAGGCAAAACATGCCCTTCCCAGAAACAGCATATGAATGACCCACCAAAATGCAGTGATTCATTTGTGCACATCCTTCTTCCAAAGGAAGGAATCAGAGCTGCTTTCTGTTGCAACATCATCTCTTGGGAGGTGGTGGTGGTGGTGGTGGTGGCCACCCGAGATGCACTAACCTCTCCAGCTGCTCAAAACCTACCTTATCTGTGGTCAAAAGAACATTTATATTTTTGTAATTTAAAATCTGGTAAACAGTAAAAACCTCACAGCAGTGTTCATCTTTCTGGATTTCCATTGATTGCCCGGAGATAAAAATGTGTGGGGTTTTTTTATTGCTTACATTATATTACTTTTTTTGTTTACTTTTCTGTGTCTGGTCTCAGAACTTTCACATTGGTTTCATAGATACAATACAAAGGGTCTCCCATTTCTCCCCACAATCTGTGTATCCTATTTAAACAGAGAACAGGTGAGAGCCATCACTTCCAAACTGATGTCTGGAGATGGCAAAATACAAAATCTGCATGACAAGGTCACTTAGCTCTGAAAAAATTCCTCACTTGCAATTGTTGATTGTTGTGGATGATCCAAAGGGAGGAGAACTGAGCCGGCATCGCTTCATAAACATTCTGTGTTCTGTATAAAGAGCTTATGGTAAACTTTCTGAAGGAGGTAATAAATAGTAAGCTCTAGCACACCCTTCCAAGGATCAGTTCTCATTTTTAATACGGAAACTGAGTATTGCATGACAGCAGCTCAGCAGATAATAGGATAAGAATTGACTTTAAAACCAGTTTCTCAGCATAATGCAGAGTGGGAAAAAGACAAGACAATATGTAAGGAATACAAACTTAAAGTAGGATCTATACATTTGCATTTATTGTAGACTACAGAAATACTTTTCCTTCAGTTAGAATGATACAGAGCAAAACCTGATACTGAGGTAGGAAACCCACAGTAATAACAACACGTGTGATTTTCATCTTCCGGGCACTTGCTGTGGATAATGTTAATCTGTAGAAATGTTTGTTTGCATTTTAAAGATATTTTGACATATCAAATAATCTGATTTTGTTCCATTTCGTGGTAAACACAGGTCAGAAGATGTGTTTCATCCTAAAGAATATTAGAGGTTTGCCATTAATAATGCATTAGGAGGCATTTGCTTCTGTTGATCATTCACTGGAAAGCAATCTTTAATATAAACGTTATGGTAATAGAGCGATTCCTGAGAGCCAGCACAGCCTGTATTGTTTTAGAAGTAAAATAAGAGATGCAGTTAATATTATTGTAGAAGAAAATCAGCGTACTGAATGCAAACATACCAGTGAGGATTTATGGCAGGAGGTTGGCTCCAGAGCCCCCATCTTGCTATTGTGTCTCAGTTCCATGTGATACTGTCACAGGCACGTGTCCCCTTCTGGTCCCCTCTGTGCTCGTCACCATCTGCCCTGTGGTACTTGCTGGGTGCTGTAAAATAACCAGTGCTAGGGCAGGCACCCCCCTAGAGCCCCTCCTCGCTGCGGTTTTGGTATCTTCATGGATGCGACCAGCACAAGGTAAATGGATTTTAAGACCTAGAAACCATCATGCGTCGTTTTGTTAAAGTGAAAGCTGCTTTTTACAAATTATGAGGATACATCACTAGTAAATACAGGGCACTTGTGAGGATCAGTGTGGTTTTGTGATTAGTCTTCCCTGGGAGTTTTAAAAAATCCCAACCACAGCCTAACTAACACGCTGCGGCCATCGGTATGTTTGTAATGCCAGCTTTGCAACTACCATTAAGCACTGGGGAGGAAACTCAGTTTCAGAGGGTTAAAATTAAAGCATTACATATGCAAAACCGAAACAAGACATTTTAAGGTCCCCTTCGCTGTGCTACAAGTCAGTGACAATCCATCTATTCCACTGAGGCTTTGCCAGCAGGCCCCATTGAGGTTGTGACCCAAAATGCAGAGAAGGTGTAACCTAGACTGTGATCGATCAGAACAATTTTCCAAGTGCTTTTCAAGCACTTTGCTCGGTCCTTTCTCTTGACAGATGTAGGATTTCATATCCTTGCAGTTCTTATCCTACAGTCACCCCAACCTATAGCAACGTTGATATTTACCAACACTAATATTCAGAATTAAGTAATAATGTTTCACAGGTTTTGATATTTCCTGCAGGCTTTCCTGATCTCTGCTCACTGTTTTCTCTACCGATATATCATCACTTTCATTCTTGATAGTCTTTCCTTTTACTGAATATTTTTTCCTAATTCAACACATAGATATAGAAGAGCTGTTTCAGACACAGAAATACAGTACCTACATCCTTTATAGTATAGAACTTTGTATTTTAAAATATTAATAATAATATCAAATCGGAAAAAATATTACAACTCCTTTGAAGTTTCAGAAATAACTTGAGAGTTTGGGTCTCTCATTTAATGGGTGCCTGATTTAATACCCCCTCCCTGTGGGTGTCCAGCATAACCTACAAAGTTAATACCATTAATTATCTTAAGCTGAGCACCCAAAGGACTGTTTGCTTCTGCAAGCCTAGAATCTTTTCAGTTGCTAAGGATAGAAATTATTTGAGTTACCTCCAGGGGTTAGTGGGGTTTTTGGTGTTTAATTTGCCTAGAGCTGTTGTGGACTCATTCACTGCAGGAACCTCTGTCTGTACATTGGTATATATGTGTGCATGTGTATAAGATAATAGAGAGTGACTGGCTGCAATACATGCGTTTAAGCTACTCAGCTGAAAATTACTGAGCATTAAAATCCACTGGGAATCACGAGACCTCTGAATTAGGAAAGCACATGTCAGTCAGTGTGTGGAAATGAGTCCTCTTACAAGAGTAGCTTTCAATAAGAAGAATGAGTATTGTTCCCTAGAGTACATCAATCCTAGTTTGGCCACTCTGTACCAGCTTTTACTATTTCTCTAGAAGCATGCGTTGCCTTTTGTTACTATTTTTTCCTGTATTTTGTTCCATTGTGCGTTTTTATTAGATATATCTCATGAGCCAGCTATCAAGAGACACCCTACTGTGCTGTGACGAATGAAGGCATTTTCAACCATAAACAAGGTATTGTGGGATTGAAAAGAAACGTGGACAGTGACAAGTCCTGGACAGCTTGTAATTGTTAAAATGTATTTTTATTATGTTGTGCAGTGACATGGGAACACTGAAAAACTGGCTGATTTGACCTAAGGTTGAAGTGAGCAGAATGCTGCAGGGTAAATGAGGGACTTTGAGAAGGATAGCGGTTTTGTGTTTATTGGGTGTAGTCTAGTCCATCAGTATATGTTTTTCCATGATTAAAAACTGTATTTTGACAGTGTTTAAATGACATAGGAGCCTGTCCCATCTCAAAAAAATAGAAGGCACCTTGAAATCCATGGGAATAAGTCAATTCCTATTGACCATCAAGCTTTTTTGTGCCTAAAACTCATGTGGGACTTAGTTTGGAAAAACTGTATGTTCACAGGTGTTTTTCATCAGTGACACTTTGCATTTGGAAGAGTTTAGCAGGGTGATAGAAGACTCTCAGAACTTGGGCTGTATGGGCTGACTTAGTTAATTCAGGATTTGTAGATCCTTTTTGTTGCTGTCAGAGTCAGTGTTTAAAATCAGCTTGATTCATTAGTAGGCTATGTCAGAACATTTTCTAAGGGTTTATTTTATTGTTCCAAAATTGAAACGCTCAGATTACAGTTGAGAAGAGCAGAGAGTTAAGCAGGGATCACAGGAAACAGAGTCTCTAATTAGATGGATGAGCCAACCGGGTGTTCTCCTGCATTTGCTGTTGTCCATCCACATGACAAAAGAAACAATATCCTTTCATGAGGTCTGAAACTACCTTGTATCTGCAGTAGTAATGAGACCTCCCTCTAGTTAAGACCAGTAAATGAATGAATAAATGCAAGACGTGACCACAGGACCCACCTACCTGTGATTTGAATGTGCTCTGCAGGCAGCTGCCCCCCAGTTCCCGGGTGCCCCCTTGTTCATCTCCATCCTGTACATCCAGAAGGATCCTCTGGGAGTTAGGGAAGTATTTAGGCATATCTTATCTGGGAAGTCAAAAGGTTTTCTTCTCTGTCCTAGAGTCACAGTGGTGTATCAGGCCTGATGTGAAACCAGTGAGTTTTAAGAGCCTTTCCATTAACTTCATCAGCTTCTCATTCATTCACCTGTTTTTCCAGGTATAGCTGCTTCTTTCATTTCCCGAAAAATAGGGTAGCATTCTCTGTATTTTCAGTTAAAAATAGAAAAATAGAGGTAAATTCTTTTTAAAAAATGTATGCCCGAAATCAAGGCACGCTTTTTTTTTTTTTTTTTTTTTTTTTTTTTTTTTTTTTTTTTGCAAAGGAAACACTCTGATTGCAGCCAACAGCAGCGAGTCCTCACTGAGAAGCTTTGAACCATCCTTAAAGCAAACAAAAAGGAAATACAAAACTATTGTTGTTGCTATTCCTTATTAAAACAAAAAACAAAAACCACAAAAAACAAAACCAAAAACCACAAACCATTTTCCTCATTTTTTTGGCTATATAGATACATAGATACGCATTGGTCTCTTTCCCCTTGCTTCAGCAGCTGGTAGTTGCATCAGTGTGAGCTGAAGGAGAACCAACATCATTTTTATCTCTCAGAGTATTTCTTAGAGATTTATGCTGCCATCAGTCCACACCAGGCATTTGCATTCTCCTCGAGATTGAGTATCAGCCCTGCTCACATTTATCTGGAGAACTGGCTATGCAAGCTGGCTTGACATGTTAATTTAATTTGTTCTTCTCAATTCGTACTCTTTCATTTATGATCAAATATCAGGAAAGGTTACAATTAATCAGAGCACGGGAACAGAAGCTGGCAAAGCTAATGATGTATTACTGCATTTTGGTTGCTCCAGAGGGGAATAATTGAGGTCCTTTTGCTACAGAAAACTATTATTAGAAAGTAAAATTATCGAAGGAAAGCGACCCACACCCATCTCCCATTTTGCAATCTGTATTTCTAACAGTTTTCTTAAAAGTTCTTAAAAATGAGGCATTTTATTAACACTCGTGGCTGTAACCAGGATTTTTGGCTGTGTGACTGCCTTGGGGCAAAATGTGCCTTTTCACAGGGCACTGTAGGGTTTGAGCCCTCGCTGCTGCCCCCTGCTCAGGGCTTGCAGATGATACTCAGTGTGCATGAAGGCAATTTTCAGATGCTAATAGCATGCCAGTCCCCGAGGGAAAAGGGCTCTGCTGCTGCTTGCTCAGCAGAGGAACCACAGGGAATCCCTGCAGAAGCAATACAGGCTCAGGGAGTTAATGTGGTGTGCGCTTCCTAATTGAAAATGAACTAATTGCTGTTTGTTTAAAAAGCAAATGTGTTGCTGGGCTGAGACAGAGGATGAACACCGAGCCTCTCTGAAGGGAATATATATGTTCAGCTCTGGGGCCCCCAGCATAAGGAGGACATGGACCTGATCAAGTGGGTCTGGAGGAGACCACAAAGAGGATTGGGGAGCTGGAGCACCTCCCCTGTGAGGACAGGCTGAGAGAGCTGGGGATGCTCAGCCTGGAGAAGAGAAGGCTGTGGGGAGACCTTAGAGCGGCCTCCCAGGACTTAAAGGGGCTACAGGAAAGCTTGGGGGGAGGGGTGGT